AGCGTCTGTAGCTCACCGTTCGGCGTCTGTAGCTCACTGTTCAGCGTCTGTAGCTCACCGTTCGTCTGTAGCTCACCGTTCGGCGTCTGTAGCTCACCGTTCAGCGTCTGTAGCTCACCGTTCAGGGTCTGTAGCTCACCGTTCGTCTGTAGCTCACCGTTCAGGGTCTGTAGCTCACCGTTCAGCGTCTGTAGCTCACCGTTCGTCTGTAGCTCACCGTTCGGCGTCTGTAGCTCACCGTTCGGCGTCTGTAGCTCACCGTTCAGCGTCTGTAGCTCACCGTTCAGGGTCTGTAGCTCACCGTTCAGCGTCTGTAGCTCACCGTTCGTCTGTAGCTCACCGTTCAGCGTCTGTAGCTCACCGTTCGGCGTCTGTAGCTCACTGTTCGTCTGTAGCTCACCGTTCGGCGTCTGTAGCTCACCGTTCGTCTGTAGCTCACCGTTCAGCGTCTGTAGCTCACCGTTCAGCGTCTGTAGCTCACTGTTCGTCTGTAGCTCACCGTTCAGCGTCTGTAGCTCACCGTTCAGCGTCTGTAGCTCACCGTTCAGCGTCTGTAGCTCACGTCGGGCTCTGGTGTTAAACTATATCTGTGTCCTCGCTGACAGCAGCTGGTTAACGTTCAGTCAACAACCGTCATCTTTTCCACCCGTCAATACTCGGATCAATACTCTGATCAATACTCGGATCAATACCCTTTCTCTCACTCACACATTGTTCCCTGCTGACAGAAAGCAGACGCATGTTATATTGATGGTTTCATCCATTACAGTTAATGTGTTACAACCATTAAAAGAACAATATTTAATGTCTCCTGGTTGTTGCATTCAATGTCAGATAGGAAATTACATTTCTCCAACAATCCACGAGTTACAGCCGCTAGCTTAGCAGCAAACAGGTAGCACACAGAAACAGTTTGAATGTTTCTAGTGACTATAAAGTCTGACAGCTCTGTTAGCTCTGTTAGCTCTGATTAGCCGCTCTGATTAGCTCTGTTAGCTCTGATTAGCTCTGATTAGCTCTGTTAGCTCTGATTAGCTCTGTTAGCTCTGATTAGCTCTGATTAGCTCTGATTAGCTCTGTTAGCTCTGATTAGCTCTGTTAGCTCTGATTAGCTCTGTTAGCTCTGTTAGCTCTGATTAGCTCTGATTAGCTCTGATTAGCTCTGTTAGCTCTGATTAGCTCTGTTAGCTCTGATTAGCTCTGTTAGCTCTGTTAGCTCTGATTAGCTCTGTTAGCTCTGTTAGCTCTGATTAGCTCTGTTAGCTCTGTTAGCTCTGATTAGCTCTGTTAGCTCTGTTAGCTCTGTTAGCTCTGATTAGCTCTGCTCTTCCAGGTCACCGTAGACTCTCAGTTGTCTCATTTGACTCGAGATCGAGTGAAGATTCCTCACAACCGCCGGCTGCCGACCAGAGGTCACCTGCTGGCTGTGGTCAGTCTGATCCTCCATCACTAACCCTTCATACCTAAAGACTGATAAGGTTGTCTGACTGCTGATTATTGATTATTGATTAATGGTTGATCCTCTCTGTGTCCAGGCCTCCTCCTCCTCAGACGGGACACTGACTCTGGATCTGATCCAGGAGGAGGACGGTCCGTCTCCTCAGGGAGCCGACGGCTACGACGCCTCCAGGGTCGACTCAGACAAACCGGATTGTCAGCGGTCGAAAACTGACGGCGCTCTCTCTGCCAGGACCAGCGAGGCTTCTGGGAAATCCCAGAGCCTCCCCCGCGAGGTGGTGGTGGTGTGGGAGCAGACGGGCCAAACCCCCCAGCCTGGAAAACGCTTGACAACTGCAGAGAAAAACCGCTGCGCCTCCATGGACGAGATCCTCACGCACTCCGAGACGAAACCTGCAAAGAACAAGACCGGGGCAACGCCACGTTCGCCGGACGCCGCGGCGCCCATCAGCCGGCTGCAGGAGCTGATCAGCCAGAAGCTGGAGAAGACGGAGCGGCTGCTGACGGAGGCACGGCGGGACGCGAAGGGGAAGGAGTCCACTGAAGCTGAGAGACTCCTGAAGGAGGCAGCGGTGGCCTGGAGTCAGGCTCGCGAGGTGCTGGAGGAGGTGAAGGAGCTGAGGGCGTTGTCCCGACAACTGGACTCCTCCTCCCCCCTCACCCCCTCCAGCAGCACCAAGCTGAACCAGGACCGCCGGAGCCCGATGTGAGCCACAGGGACTCTGAGAACTGTTAAATTATTTGGAACAATTCAGGAACCAGGACCGATCAGATCTTCCTTAAAACCAGAGTGTAGCATTCAGATCCAGGTTCTGAAAATCCCTTAAAGTCTGTTTTTGGTTGCACAAACGTCCTTCGACAAAAACAGGAAACTCTTTAAAGTCTCCACGAACCAGGAAGTGTTTGTGTTTCTAGCTAATAGCAGCTAGAGCTATGAGCTAGCGTCAGCATCGACCATCCAGTGAACACGGGACCGAACGCGGACCGAACGCGGGACCGAACGCGGACCGAACGCGGGACCGAACACGGACCAAACACGGGACCGAACGTGGGACCGAAGCGGGATCGGACACGGGACCGAACGCGGACAAGCGGGACCGACGCGGGATCGGACACGGGACCGAACGCGGACCAAACACGGGACCGAACGTGGGACCGAACGCGGGACCGAACCGCGGGATCGGACACAACCTCTGAAACCAGTACCGAGGTGGTTTCCTTGCTGGATGAGTCAGTTAGAGGAGGCTGTGTCCGACCCCGGTCCGGCTGCTGAACCCGGTTCTGTCGCCCGCTAACGGCAGATACAGAAATCTGATCCAGTTTCACCAGAACCGCTGAATCCAGTTAGAAAGCTCAATAACGACTCACGTGAATAATTTACATAAATCGTTAGTTGGCTTGATGGAGACTTTAAAGACGACCCGACGTCAGAGTGAAATGTGCCAAGAGTAATGTTCCTCTGTGAATATTAACGCGTCGGTCCGACTGTAATAATGTTCCTCTGTGAATATTAACGCGTCGGTCCGACTGTAATAATGTTCCTCTGTGAATATTAACGCGTCGGTCCGACTGTAATAATGTTCCTCTGTGAATATTAACGTGTCGGTCCGACTGTAATAATGTTCCTCTGTGAATATTAACGTGTCGGTCCGACTGTAATAATGTTTCAGGTACGATAATCACATTCCCAGCAGCCTCAGCGGCACTCTGAGTGTACTATAATTAGCTCATGTTAGCATGTAGCTCTTACGCCTCGGTTCCACCGGGTACGACGACACGTGTGCCGCGACGTTTAGCTTCGTACCGAGAGGCGGAGCATTGTCTTGGTTGATTTGGTAATTGTTTTAAACTGTAACGCCGCCCGGGGGAGGCGTCAGTCTCAAGAATCGAACGTACTATGCACACGATGTTCAGACTCTTCTTCTCTTTCTCAATGTGAATGTTTCCGGAGCCTCCAGTCTCACCTGGAAACTGACTCAGGTGTGAATGTTTGAACTGGACTGATAATGAAATTAACTCGAGTCGACCGACAGCAGCAGATCTTTGATTGTTCGTCTCTACAGAGGAGGACTCTGTTAGCTCTGTTAGCTCGAGCAGCTAACGGAGCTAACAATGAACTGAAGCTAATGCTAAAGAAAGTCAAACTGAAACTATAAATCAAAACAGCTGGCTAACGGCTAACTAGCATTATAGCTGCGAAAAAAAAAAAAAAATAATAAAAAAAAAAAAGTTAACATTGATTAGCTGACTTAGCTAACATACGTTTATATCATAGTATATTTTAATATTTTATATACTCAGTTATTGTTATCCTGACAATTAATTTAACTATTGATTAAAGTTCTACACATACGTTTATATCATTATTTTAATATTTTTACTTCCATATTTGTTTTCCTGGAGCAGTTCCTGACTCTGCGGAGACGAACAATCAGGAATCATTTGAAATGGATGCAATGAACGACGGTAGCTTCCAGTGAGCAGGAATCAAACACGAGTGCAGTTTAATACAATCAGAGTTTATTTTTATAAACCAGATTCAGACTTTTGTACTTTAGTTGAAGCAAAAGATTCCCGCTCGCAGTATTTTTGTAAGTGAAAGAACTGGTTTCATTATCCTCCTGTTCAATGTTCCTGCCAGCTGCTTTCTGAGTGTCACACTGTTCCTTTGGTCCAGCAGGCGGCGCTAAAGAACGCAACGACCGCCACGAAGAAGAAAATGTGATTGTAAACAATGAAGGATTAAAACTATATTTTAAAGTCGTCTTTCTTTTATGAGGAATAAAATGTGTTTCACGTGTTTGTTGAGCAGAAAATCTCACTTCTTCTTCTTCAGGTCTTTTTTCTAAAATCAAGTGACCTTGTTGAGCTGATTTTAAACATTAATTAGATTATTATTTCTAATATTATTATTATTAGTTTGCATTTAAACTCAAGTTCAAATTGTTTTTCTTGTCCTTCTTAGTTTTTTCCTCACAGCTCGATGTTTGTCCACACGAGCACCCTTACTACAGACCCGCCCTGCGCTCCTTCTGATTGGCCACTGTTTGTTACCTTCAGGTTCAGAGCCAATCAGAGGCAGCGTACCGGCGGCCGCTGCGTGAACACCTGGCTGCTCAACGCTGAGAAACACGTTGTGATTGGCTGTACTGCCGGGCCCGTACTGAGCATGTGCAACCCTCAACAGAGGTGTGAGGAAAGCGAGAGGTCTCCCTCTGTTCCTACTTCCATCATCAGCTGCGTTTCATTCATTAATCTTTCAAAGTCTTTATGTGTGAATCACATCTGTAAACAGTGTGAGACAGACATAGAGCGTAGTATTAACGTAATCTCAGCTCGTACAGAGAAACATTTTACCTTAAATAAAATAATACAGCACCGTCGTCTGAGAGCAGATGGTCATCTCCATGTGTGACATCATCTGTAAACACAGGACCGCCAGCTCATCTGGGACCAGCACCAGCGCCCCCTCAGGTCCACCCATCAGCGAGATCTGGAGCTCTGGGAAGTATTTTTACAGAAAAGACCCAACTACTCAAGTT